AGAGCTGCAGAGGGACTGGGGACAAGGCAGGCAGGGACAGGACTCAAGGAATGGCTTTAAAAGGACAGAAGGCAGGGTTTGATGGGTTATTGGGAGATATTGTTCTCTCTGAGGGTGGTAAGGCATGGGCACAGGGTGCCCAGAGCAGCTGTGGCTGCCCCTGGATCCCTGGCAGTGTCCAAGGATGGATGGGGTTGGAGCAACCTGGGACAGTGGAAGGTGTCCCTACCCATGGCAGAAGGCGGAATGAGATGGTCTTTAAATCCCCTTCTAACCCAAATAATTCTGTGATTCTGTGATTGGCCTGACGTTGTGGTTCACTGGAGTTGAGCAATTCCAAGTCTGAAGCAGACACACAGGGGTGTGGAAGAAACAAAACGGGAAAGGTTTGGGTGTTGCTGACCATGACAGGGACAAAGCAAATGCACTCCTCAGCTGCAGATGGCATTTCAGCAGAGGCACCAGCCAGGAGCTGTGTTCAATTCACAGCACCTACAGCAATGGAAAATGAATTTGACAGAAGACTCTTGTTTGTTTTCCCAGCTCTGATGTGGTTGCCCTGGATTCACCCGAAGCTGCCGATGCAGGGAGTAAGTGTAGAAAATTATCTGAAATTAGACTTCCAGACAGCTTTCCCCCTGCCCACTCCAGCTTTGCCCTGAGACTGTCTGAAAGACGTTTCCTTCCCAGTGGCTGGCACTCAATTCTAATTTTAAACTGAATTGCAAATCCAGATGACTAACCAGATCCATGAGAAAACTTCCAAGGGGCATTTGTGAATCAGCAGTCCTCAGGACTGTCGGGATTGTATTTGCTTTTCAAAAACTCAAGATATAGACTGAGGGTAGAGGAGGGCATGGGTTGGATCCTTAGCTGCCCTTTAGCATCAGTAACAAGAGGATTTCACCTTATTTGCACTGAAGTTGTCAGTAAATGTAGGGTTTGTCCATCCCAAGTTTGCATTTTGCAGGCATTCTGCTCCTTCCCCGTGCAGACAGAAGGGAAACTGCATCCCTGGGGTGCTCTGGAGACAAAGCCACAGCAGCTGACAATCAGAGATGACAGCCTCAAAAAGGAGAGGCAAAACTGGTAGTATTTCAGCCAAGGGAGGTGATGCCTTCAGCAAAGAACACCATTTACAGATCCTCCAGGGAACTGGGGAACTAATCCACTTAGCACAACCCTTTCATTCCAAGGCAGACAAACCAAACTTTCAGCCACAAAATTAATCTGCATTGCAACTAGCACACTGGGAAAAACACAATACAAAAAATTAAATCTGGTTTTGGGTAGTTTTGATCAGTTTTTATGCTGCCCCAGAATAACAATTCCCACAAAGTCAAGTGGCTCCTACATAAGGAAGCGCCAAGTGCCACAGGAATTTTAAGCTTTCTATTCAGTGTACCCTGAAGCCTATAGACTCTGGGCGTCTCTTGGTGATAAAGAAAAGATTCAGGAGATATTTTATCTGTCCTCTTCCTATATCTGCACTGAACTCCACAGCTCTGTTCTCCCTCAGCTGCTGATAAACATAAAATAAAATCCGAGACTGGTGCCCGCCTCTGCAACGACCACCAGGCCCAGAATTTGTATTTTCAGGCTCCACAAATGCCAAGGACTTGGTGAGGCTGAAAACCAACTCACTTTACCGTTATTATCCATTGATATTTAAAATACATGGAAAAATGGCCTTCCTGATTTGCCCTGGGAGTTCCATCTTGTGAAAAACACACATAAAACACTGGAAATGTACTGAATATTAATTATTATTCCTATTCCCATTTCCATTTTGCCTGTGACGGGGCTGGCAGGCAGCAGGACCCCAAGCTCAGCACAATGCAGTTGTACTTTACCATCCTCCTCTTCACCTGTGGCTCCAAATTCCCCGATACAATTCTGTGGCTCTCTGAACACAGCCCACCCTGGCACCACCCCCCTGGATCAGAGGGGACCTTCCCTGTATCAGCAGCCTCTGAGTCAGTCTCGCTGACCAGCAGATGTCTGGGAGGATGGGGCAGGGGCATGCAGTCACAGAAACAATGGTGGGAAGGTTGCTCACACACCTGAAGGACTCAGGGGTGTGGGGAGGTGGAGGCTGTGTTGAAACTGCATCCCTGGAAGGGATTCTGCAGGCCACAATGAGCCCCAAAACAGGGAGGACCTGGAGCTGCTGGAGTGAATCCATGGGAGGCCAGGGAGATGCTGCAGGGCTGGAGCCCCTCTGCTCTGGAGCCAGCCTGGCACAGCTGGGGCTGCTCACCTGCACAAGAGAAGGCTCCAGGGAGAGCTCAGAGCCCCTGCCAGGGCCTGAAGGGGCTCCAGGAGAGCTGCAGAGGGACTGGGGACAAGGCAGGCAGGGACAGCACACAGGCAATGGCTTCCAGTGCCAGAGGGCAGGGCTGGATGGGATCTTGGGAAGGAATTGCTGGCTGGGAGGGTGGGCAGGCCCTGGCACAGGGTGCCCAGAGCAGCTGTGGCTGCCCCTGGATCCCTGGCAGTGTCCAAGGCCAGGCTGGACAGGGCTTGGAGCAGCCTGGGACAGTGGAAGGTGTCCCTGCCGTGGCAGGGGTGGCACTGGATGGGCTTGAATGTCCTTTCCAGCCCAAACCAAACTGTCCTGGCATTCTGTGATGGGCAGCAGCCACTTGTCACTGGTACCTGCACAGCCCCTGGCACCAACACTACAGGGAGAGGTGTTGGTGCTGCCCTGCTCCGACATAAAAGGAAGGTTTTGCAGCCAGGAAATCACAATATGGATGTGCAAAATTAAATGTGTTACAGCAAGAAACAGTGCTGAATTTCACCAATCGTAACCCAGAATTCACGGATTTAATTTGGAGATGTGACAAACAGCAGCAAACATCCAAATTTGATGGAAGTGGAAAAAAAAAAAACCCAACAAATTGATATTGTTTAAATAATACACTCTATTTTATTTCATCTTAAAATAGTTTAACCTTTATGCTACAGACTTGTTTCAAAAAACAGAAGGTCTCATCTTGCACCAAAAATATATATATTTATATATATATATAACACTCTGTTTTATTATTATTTCTCTCCAAAGACCATTAAATACTAGATGGAAAATGAGAACTAAATAGTGAGTGTTGAGAGGAATCAAATTTTATTTTTAACTAGAGCCGCACGTTTCAAACATTTATATTCTGAGCAATGATTTGTCTTCACTATAGAAGATTCCAAGTTCATACTCCAGCAATTCAGGAAATCTGCTAAACCCTGAAGGGCTCGAGCCAATGCACACTGAGGTCGATGGGCAGCCCCACACCGACCCCAGTGGGTTCTGGACCAGGCCCCAAGTGCATTGGTTCTCAGCCATACAATGGCTAACTTTTATCTTTCCTGCTGAGAAGAGCAAAAACCACCCAGGCACATTTTTGCTCTTTTTAAAACACAGAAGTTAAAAAAAAAAAAAAAAAATTAAAAAAAAAAAGAAACCAAACCATTTCCGACATCCTACATCCAGTGATTGCGTTTTTCAGATCACTAGCCTTGAAATTGTTAAGAGAAAATAACATAGTGTTTTAAATAAAAGAAAACCTGCATCAGACTACCATACATGAGCTGTTTAAACAAACACAGTGCACAATTGGAGGAAGTTTGGTTAGGAGGCAGTCGTCTTTATGTACACATGGAAGTCACATCATATACAAACTGGAAAACAAGGAGAGCTAGTTTGCATTTTTTTTTTCATGGAAGGACTGCAAACGGGGTCCCTGCAGCTTTCTTCACATCCCATCTTCAGGAGACTCTGTGAAATGGGAAGCAGCAGCCACAGGAGTGGAGGTGGCTGTTCCAAAGTTACCTTTCCAGCAGGTGTGTGGGCCCACAGCTGATGGGAACAGGAGGAGAAAGGATGGGCAGAGCAGCACGGAGCCTTTCCCTGCTGTGGGGCCAACAGGGAAATGCTCCCCTCTCTCCCTCCCTTCCTCCTTCCCTTCCTCCCTCTCACAGAAAGGAATTGGTCACTAAAAAACACCACAGATATTCTTCTGGCCACGCAAGACACTTATGTTCAATGTTCTAGAAAGCTGGAAATGGGAATATCAATCCTTACCTAGCTGTTCTGTAAAGTGCAGTATGAACTGTTCTGCTTATGGAAGAAACAGATGTTTATTACTAACTCTACCCCCCTGCTGGGCTGTTTTTCCTTTATGTGACAACACAGGTAACTCTATGATAATTTTTTTCATTTTGCCCACAGATAAAATTATGGGAAGCCAAATAAATTTTGAAAACAGCCGACACAAAGGAAAGCAGAACTTTCTATGTCCTGACCCGCCCTGTTCAGCCTTAAATAGTAAAAAATCTAATGGCAGAGCTGTACAAAATTCCTAATAGAAACACCTGGAATATGAAGGAATGTTTCAATTGCACAGTAGACATGTGAAGTGAATAATATCATCTTTTTAAAGTCTAATCTTTGGTTTTTGCCTTGGGAAGGGCTCAAAATTACAGATGAGGGGCAGGAATTTCCATATACACCACAGAAAGTGCAGCCCACTGAAGTGAGTAGTTCTACTGATTTTGGTAAATATTCTGGTAGAAAGTGTTTCCTGAATCTTGGCATTTCCAAAACTAGCATGAGAGACATGAATGAAACCCAGTGAAATGGTGCAGATTACTAATTTAAAAAATAAAAATAAAAAAAAATTAAAACCCACAACCTTAGTTTCCAACCCTGATCCTGCAACATCTTTTAGGACAGAGTTTTAAGCACTTGAGTGACCCCACAAATTCCAGAAACATGTCCCAGCTGAACATCCCCTTGCCAGGCTGCAGCTCTGGAATTTGCTTGGGATTTGTTTTTTTATTTTCTGAGATGGTGAATTACACAAACAAGCAGCAGTAGAGATGGGGGCTATGACTAAAGCATTTCATTCCTCTCCTTTAACTACTCCAGGCAAGACTTAGAGAAAGGTAGGAAAGTTCAGCTATAATTAAAAAGGAGAGGGATGCTGGGCCTTTTTATTAACTTCTCCTGTGCTTTTGCAATGTTCAGCTGTTCCTAAGTCACTACTATTACTATTTTAGCCATTCCAAGCTGTGGGAATTGACCAGTGAAACACAGTAGTCAAGTAGACAGAAGACTCAGCACTGAAGAGTATAAACTATAAATCCCATTGAAAATAAAAACATTTTAATTAAAAGCTGTTCAGTGCATTTGTTACGGGCCGTTTGCATTAAAGACAATCCCTCCTGCTGGTAACATAACCAAATCAGCTCGGGTAAAAAAAAATACTCCTGGCCCAAATTTTGGAAGTGTTGAATACCCCCCAGTTCTGCTGAAATCAGTGAGGACACAGCATTTCTCAAAATCATTGATGCTCACACAGCAACACACTAACTTCTACTAACAAACTCAAGATACTGATAAATTAAAAATGTCCTGGAGGTGGGGAGGGTGGCAGGACGTACACTCGCACGCAGTTATTTCGTTAGATACACACGCACACGTTAGTAACTGCAGACGTGTTTTAAACTTGGTGCTGTTAATTCTGGGCAGGAATCCTCCTTGGAGAAGGCAAAACCATTGGAAGAGATACTGAAATCAGCCTACATTCCTGTGGACGTGGAGAGACGCCAGGGTTTGGGCTCTGTGGTGCCGAGGACGGGGCCTCCGGAGGTGATGCTTTAACCACTCGACTTCTGTGCCAGGGAAGGTGGGGTGGCAGGGGGGCAGAGCACAGTGACACGGCCTCACAGGAGGTATTTACGCCTGGTGTCCTCGTCCAGAGTGAGGTCCACCACTTCTGGGGGCGAGGACCAGTTCTGCTGGGGAGCCACTGCTGTCCATGGCTGCGCGGGCTGGGCGCTCCCGAACGGCGAGCCGCGCTTCCAGGAGGACACGCTCTGGATCACCCCTCCCCTGGGATGCACGCACCTGCAGGGAGGACAGGGACACACACACACACAGAGTCAGGGACACTGCTCAGCTCGGCCACATCCCCACCTCCAGTGTTTTAGCACTACCTGGTTAGCACGTCCCTCTCCAGACTGGATTCTCCACTCGTGGCGTCTCAAACGCCCAGTGAACAAAGCTAAATTCAAATTTGGGGGATTTGGTGGGGATTTAATGATTCTAAAGGAATGTCAGTGGGTGTAATGTGATCTTCCTTAAAAAATATGTGCATGCATCCCAAGGGTCTTGAGGAAGCCTGCCTCACAATGTGTAGTACCATGCACAGTTTCCCGATGGAGCTTTACCCATTGGACTTTTGAAAAAGAGAAAAATTTGAAGTGAGGCTGCCTATTGCTATATTGGAATATTAAATCAAAGCCATATTAAAGCAAGGAGATAATGATACTTTCATGACAGTAATTGCAAAAGAGATTGTGCTAATTATGTTATTACAACCGTTATGTCTGATTTTTTTTGTTTTGGTCTTTTTAACTGAAAATTACAAACATGCTGGGAAATGCTCACTGACAACAGTTCAGCTCCACTTCAGCAAAACATTTAAGCTTTAAGTGACTACAGACAATGAGACTAAAAGGTGCATTTGAAGATAAGGCTCCAGTGCCCTGCTGAAGCGTGATACACAGGTACCTATTCACATAGCATTTTTACCTATTGTTTCCACAGTAGATACATGACAAATGAAGCACAAGTTATGAGCAATTAGAAAAAAATAAATGCAAAATGAAAGGGAGAATAATTTTGTGTATGATGAAGTGATGACAGGAATTTACTGGAGGCTTTTGGATGATCACTCCATTTCCAGCTGTAAATCCTACACAGGGACTAATAAAACTTGATACCTAGTGCTCCAAAAATTGTTTTGCTCTTGTAAGCACTGGTGGTGGCTGTAGCTGCTCCTGGCTGCATGGATAAACACAAAGTGTTCTGGCTGCTGGGGAAACTTTTTCCCATTTCTTTGTGAAGGCACATGTATTTCAGGAACTCAAATTTCCTGGACTGATCAAATATCCCTGACATTTACATTTTATTTATTCCAATTTAAGTCTATGCTATTTATTTTCTCCAAAACTACTTAGGTTATGCTCAGCTCTCTTGGTTCTGGTTGGAGTTTCATGAAATAAAATGAAAAATCTCATTCTCTGAGCTGTAAATTCTCTGAATATAAATGTCTCATTGCCTTCTCGGATACGCTGCTTAGGTTTAGATGTTCAGAATGGTTCTTTTACTACTTCTTCAGTCATAAAAGCACATAGTTAAACTATATATCCACAAAGAATTAGCAATAAGAACCTGGAACTCTAACAAATGTACAGGATTTCTTTCTTTTAAAGCTTTCTTGTAAGGAGAAATATTTTTAAGCATAACTGGCAAGAAAAGCTTGTAGGCAGAGCAAATTAAATATGATGTTTGGTCTCAGGGACTGTGGTGCACCATTCTAAGAATGGTGCACCATTCTCAGTGTTTAGGCAAAACTAACTTTTCTCCCTGAAGATGACGAAAACCAAGCCATAAAGTGTATCACAGAAAATCACGGAAAATTTTAAAAAATTGGAAAATTAAGTGTTCATCCTCAAACTAGTCACAGAAGCAGCCAACAGCAAAATGTTCAGTGAAACATCAGCTCAGGGAACATGATTCTAATCTGAAGCTAAGGGAAGATACTAAGTAAAGGCAGTAAAAGAAAATAAAAAACCTCCTAGGAAAAACTAGATGAAAACTGGTTTATATGCATGCACAATTAAAAAAAAATTCTACTGGTGAAAAACTAAACAAGCTGAAAAATATGACTTGGTGTCCTAAGCAGATGCCAAGGAATATCCCAGTGATGAGAAACAGCATTAATTCGTTAAGAATCTAAGTAACTACAAATGATGGACGAACTCCAGGGTGTCACAACTCACACCAGATCAATGATGACATGGAACAGGGAGCATGATAAAAACCAGGATCCAAACACGACACTAACTAAGCAAGCAGAAAATACTGATCAAAATCCTAACCCTTGTCCAAATGACAACCCTAACAGAAGCCCATCAATACTTCATAACTGCAAGCCTAGACCTGCAAGAGAAATAAAGCTCTAAATAGGATTCAAAAATTGAAATGTGTGAGTGAATATTCAAGGGAGGCAGTAAACACTGGTCTGTGGGAGATGGGTACAGGAACAAAGAAAAGCACAGAATAGTGCTTTTAGTCTGATTTGCTGAAATTATTTCAGTCCATATCTACTAAAACTCAATTTAAACAGCAGCTTTGCATTTAGCTCAGGCTTCCATTCCCATAGAGGGTGAGAACTGTCGAGGCAGCAGCATGGACAGGTTGCAAAGAGGAGACAGAAGCACAAGGGTCCTGTGTGCAGTGCTGCACAGATTTACACCAGCCAGTGCTGGAGGGTGAATCCACACCCCTTACCATCAGCACAGAGACCCTCCAAGCCCTGGGTTCTGCTGCACGAACAGCCAGGAGAGCTGCTTCCTAAAGGAATTAACATCTTCCAAAAGAGTTGGTCATGCAAGGACTTTCTCACTGCTCCAAAAGCTAAGACTCTATACCCTTTCTGGACCTGAAAATTTCCCTTTTTTCACATCCAACAGCATTATCCATGAAGTTTCCTGCCCGGGAGATTGGGTCCTGCACACCTTCCTTCTTCTTTCCTCAAAAAGATGCAGTGTAGGGACAAGGAATTCTGTTCCGTGCACCCCTTTTCTGCCTCCAAGCATCCACTAGGCAGCAGAAAATTTTGGAAGGAGCTTGTCTATGTACTGTTTTAACTCACTTATATTCCACTAAATTCACACTCCACACTATTAGAAAATGTTGGTTTTAATCAACTGCTTCATAATATTTTAAGACAAGGAAAGACCACGGACTAAAGATAAAGAGTAACATAAAAAATGCCTACCAAGAAGAACAGCTGCACAGGTTTCTGACTGAGAGAGAAACCTCTGGCACCCTTACCCTCTTCTACTTTGACCTCTCTTGAATCTTTAAATAAACCTAAAATTCAAAATGATTGCATTTTTTAACCTAAAGGGGCTATCTTATGACATTAGCCATTGCAAAAATGATAGTATTTTTACTCCTACTGTTTAATAATTAAAGTGGAAGCTGATAGAAAACTTAATATTTTGAAAGGAAACAAGAATCCACATAAAGGTTTTCACTTAGTTATTTGCATACTCACGTATTCCTTTAAAATCTGAATTTCTGATGTACATACACTTAGTATCTCAATATTTGGTATTTTTATACCACACATCTTTAGACAGTTAATGTTTGATATTGAATCACAGCTTTAATCTGAATAACTATCAAGTTGGTCAGTTTCTAAAGAAAAACACATTCTGACATCAACATGACCAGCAAAACAGAAAAAAAATGCAACATTTGCTGCCTTTTAGGCATCACTCAGATGGGTAACTACATAAGTGAAGGCCAGCAGTTCTTTCTTTATTGATTTTGGTAATACAGACATTCTCATAAAATGAAAGTAATATTAGAACAAGAAAAAATAATTCATACCTGGCATGTTCCTGAACTCCAACAATCTCCACTTCGCTGTCAGAAGAGGCAATGTTAATTTCTTCATTGGCCTGGGCATTACCACAACAGGTTTTGTCACCTGCAAGGAAGCCTGGATCCAAACGACCTACAGATGGGGAAAATGGAAATACAGACAGTGTTTAACAGCTTATGTGACTCAGAAATCAACTGGAAAAGGAGTTTCCCAACCTAACAAAAAAACCAAAACAACACTGAGATTAGCAAATCTCGTTAGACCAAGTTTTTCAACTCACAACTTATATCTGGTACATGAAAACCACTGGATTTAGCCAGTGTCAGTAGCTCTGGTGATGGTGCTGCCACACAAATGTGAACAAAGCCTGACTGCTGCACCAAGAACAACTAGAATTGCCAGCTGAAATGTTATGGCAGTGCTAAGAGTCAGACTGTCCCCAAACCTCTTGAACATTAAGAAAGAAAACAAGCTAAGCAAACAGAATGGTATTATGACAAAAAAAAGCCTACAGTCTGGACAGAAACATCCCACACACCAAGGAAAATTAATTTAATTTCTTTAAATAAAAACTAGGAGAAGCTGGTCAGCGAAAAAATAGCAAACCCATCAGTTTCTGGCAGTGATGTTTCACACATCTGCTCTAACATGAATACAAATACTTGAAAAAGGCGTTTTCTTAAACCATATGCAGCAGTGCTGTTTTTTTATTACAGTTCCTTAATGACATCCAGTTTGTCAGTCAGTCAAACCACAAGCCCTCTCTAAATACTAACAGCAAGTGTGGCATGTTTTTGCCTTTTCTGCCAAGTGCTGCTAAGAAGGTTCTTCACCCCAATTAGTGAATCTGTGTTGAGTCATACTTGCATGGGAAACATAAAACAGCCAAAATTATTATTTCTCTCACAGAAAATAGACTTCTTGAAAAATCAATTAATTAAAAGATATAACTTCTACTCTTTTTTTTTCCCCAGGAAAAAGAGATGATTAATTCCACTGTCTTCTCTTTATGATTAGCCTGAGGGATGCTGGGCAGCCGTGAAGTAGCTGATACTACTTACTCCTGAAAAACCACTTGCTCAGCTGTACTACACAGGGGAAGAGTCATTTGTTGAACAGGAAATTTGAGAGTTGGTGAATATTTTATGTGTATCTAGTTTGAGTGGACAGCTCCTCAACGATGAGAGGAGGAGGAGAAGCAATAATGATCCACAGGATTTCAAAGGTGTGTAAACGCAGAACTGATTATACCCCCAGGGAGATTAAAAGGAACCAGAGAGAAGAAATAAAACTTGAAATAAGTGCCAGGGAAGCTTTCTAATGACTGCTTTAAGCTCGTGGGAAAGATGCATGCAAATAGAATTATAGAATGGTTTGAGTTGAAAGGGACCTTAAAACCTCATCCAGTGTCACCCCCTGCCATGGGCAGGGACACTTTTCACTGTCCCAGGCTGCTCCAAGCCCTGTCCAGCCTGGCCTTGGGCACTGCCAGGGATGCAGGGGCAGCCACAGCTGCTCTGGGCACCCTGTGCCAGGGCCTGCCCACCCTCCCAGCCAGCAATTCCTTCCCAAGATCCCATCCAGCCCTGCCCTCTGGCACTGGAAGCCATTGCCTGTGTGCTGTCCCTGCCTGCCTTGTCCCCAGTCCCTCTGCAGCTCTCCTGGAGGAGCAGAGACCATGCTGCATGTTCAGTTTTTGGAAAGCCAAGACCCTTGGTGACTGGATTAGGGTTAGCAAGGGAAGGAAACACACCTGCTGCTAGATATCTGAAGGAGGAGTTTCCACCTCAAAAGACAAAAAATAATATTTATCAGGTGAACTTAAAACAAATTAATAGCCCAGACAGTCTCTTCCTAGTATTGCAGTTCAGCTGAACATTTCTTGGCAAACATCAGTGACTGCCAGAAAGCCCAAAAGTGGGTCATGGGTACTTCTTTAATAGAAGTGGCTGGGCAGACTGAAATGACTTTCATGAAATGAAAGTGCTCAGAGGCTTTGATTTGCTTGCTGGAGGCTTCATATTGCCAGAGGACAGGGCTGGATTGGACACTGGGGAGAAATTCTTCCCCATGAGGGTGGGCAGGCCCTGGCACAGGGTGCCCAGAGCAGCTGTGGCTGCCCCTGGATCCCTGGCAATGTCCAAGGCCAGGCTGGACAGGGCTTGGAGCAGCCTGGGATAGTGGAAGGTGTTTCTGGTATGGCAGGGGGTGAAATGGGATGGCCACAGTAGCTTGTTTTAATGTCTAACCACCCTTCATTTTCTTGACAGGGTAATGTCTGGCAAAGGAGCAAAGCAGACCAGCTCCTACACAGCCCCAAAGATATCCCTAGGGGTACAAATCTGAGTCCCAAAAGAGCTTCCACATATTACCATAGCTTTAAGTTCAGGCAACAAAAAGATAATTAGCAGTAGTGAAACCATGATTAGGAGAGTAAATACTGCAAGAGTAGCTGAGTGTTAATCAGGATCAAGCACAGACAGATTTACAGCCTCTGGCCATACAAATTTCATGCCCAATAACATGCCCACGCTGTTAATTTCTTTGCACGAACATTAGGATGACACCCAAAGTGATGTTTTGTTTGCCCTACACCACCAGGGCTTGCAAAACAGCCCCAAATATTTGCCCATGCACAAAGATGTGATAGAGTAATAAGATTTTTCACTTTGATAGGGGTGCTTATGTTGTTTTTTTCCCATGGGAACACATTCTTTAAGGTCTGCTAAACCAGATACTGGCTGAAGATTACACTTGTGAACCAGATGCAAGATTTGAAAATTCTGCTTTCCCAGTGTGCAACCCTAGACCTGGTAGGAAAAGGCCAGCACTGGCAGAGGTGCAGTCAGATGTGTACAGAGGCTGCAGGGTAAGGTGTATGCATGATCAAAAAGAGATTCATCCTTTCAACTGCTGACATGGCCATAGCACCAGAGCCAAATCCATATGAACATTCCCAGGGATGAAGAAGTCTCTTGATATTCCCAGTTTTCTTTTGCCTTCAAGTCCCCTTGGATATACGTAGAAGAAGGAAAAAAAAAATTCTACCCGCACTGCAGCATTTTAAGAGAAAAGTGGAAGAAAGCTTGGTAAGAAACATTACTTTTTATTTCTTTACATTTATTTGGTGTACTGATCCTTCAGGGCTATGCAATACAGGTGATTTCAGCTGTTCTAATTGTTTAATAAATCCCTTAATAAAGGGGCTGCTAGGAGTCAAATATCTATCAGTTAGCTGCTGTCCTGCAAAAAATACCAGTGAGCTTGGAGAACAAAGGCAAGCTTCAGAAAGGCTGGGACAACATCCATGCACAGACCACAGTGAAAATAAGGCACAGAGAATCTCATACTCAAATCGTGGACTTGTAGACTCCTTAGTAATGGAACATCTCTTTACAAAGCACCACCTAACTGCATTTCTTTAAGCCTTATAGACAGTGAAAAGCAGCTCACAGCCACCACAACACTCCCCATGTGGGTGCCCTGTGGCAGGAGACCTTTGGGAAACATAATAATAATCCCTGCTAACATCCAAAACACTGTCCAGTTTTCTAAGGGGTATTAGAAATGCAGCTGGAATATGGGAAGAACTAATGCTTGTATTTTAGAGATAATAAGAGACAAATTTAAAAAAAAAATTTAAAAAAGGACATACACAGGCAATACCAATACTGAAAATGAGATTAGGTGCAGTTGACTAGCTGGTGGCATGAGTTGTCATAATCAATCATTCAGTGATAAGATTAGGTCACTTTCATTTAAAAGAACCCCACCACCAAAACCCCAGACCTGTAAGTTCCCTGCAGTAATTAGAAGAAAAAGAAGAAGAAGAAGAAAAGTAGTTAAGAAAATTAGTGTAAAAAATATATTGCAGGAATATTTTTCAATTTTTATCACTTGTATTTCGGAGTAAATGTCATACCTTTTTAATAAGCACCTGTCCTGTCCTCTCACAAAATCCACACAGGGAGCTTTTACAGCTGTATAAACTATAAAAATACTGAAAACAAGAAAGGGAGAGACACCAACTGCTGGCACAAATGTCAGAGAATTTAAACAAACCTGTATCAGCACTCATTTCATTCAGCAGCCCTCTGGTTCTCCAGGCAGATCCTGAGTCTTGATTTCCTAAAGAATTATTGTGCTCTTGAACTACTGCAGCCGCCAACAGATTGTCCACATTTACCACTTCTGGGTCTGAGTTTGTGTCTGATATATCATAGTGAGCCACAACAGGGGGTCCATCTGCAGGGGAGAAAAGCAACACGGGTTAGAAATCACCACAGACTGAAAGAACACCTCAAAAAATACAAATAATTTGTTTAAGGATTAATGCAACATCCTACAAGAAGCTCTTAAAGTTACAAAGTGGCAAACTGTATGAATTATTAAACTTCAGTTAATGAACACAGGCTGAGATTACAGAGACATTTTGACCTTTGCATACACAGAAAACACAAGTGTCAGAAACACACCTTTATCAGAGTACCAGTTATTTGTGTACTGTCTTTTACATTAACACATAAACATATCCATATCTGACAATGTTACATTTACAATCTTTAAAGGATAAAACCTCCAGTTTAAAATAAAAAAATAGTAAATTACAGGACATTAAATTGGGCAGACAAGATATTTATCTAGAGAATTTTACAAAAGTCAAGTGACAGCTTACATTATTATAGGGTTGATTGAATAAAAGTAGCTTTTTCTTAAAACTGATTCAGTGACAATAAATTTAACATTAGGCAACTTTCCTTTCATAACATTCACCTGTTAAGGGCAGGAGGATTTTTCAAAATTGAAATGGTTTTTGGTGGTGTTTGTTGTTTTTTTTTTTAAGATCAAGAATAACAAGAAACAAAATTATGTTATCCAGTGGTAAATATGCTTTTCATTCAACATGGTTGTCATATGAATTTTTGGCCACCAAAATGAAGGAGGAAAGTGGGAGATAAAATTGCTTACGTGATTCTGAAATCTGTCCTTGAGGAATAATAAAAAACTATTTTTGATCTGTTTTGTTAGGATTTTGTTAGGATCAACTAAATTCTTTGTGATGAATGAAAATCACAATTGGAAAGCATGCTAGAAACAGAAGAGGCTCAGGAAAAAACCAGGCAAATTCAAGACAAAGATTGATGTGGAAGCAGAGAGAATGGATAAATAATGCAATTCTGAGAGGATGTGAGTGTTTTAGCTCAAATGCCTTGCCCCATCTGCAGCTCACTGACTCAGAGTGGATGAAAAGTGGTTGGGGCTCCCCCTCCCCAAACGAGAGGATCAAAACTTTTTTTGGACCAAGGCTTCATCCACACAAATGAGGAAGAGACAGAAACACAGGCTGGGCTGAAGCTCAGCATCTTTGCAATTCTTTAATTCCAAGGAGCTAAACATCTGCAGGGCCTTTTGTTATGGGTGGGATACATGGAGGGTACAACTTGTATGGGATAATATAAAATAATATGGGATAATATAAAATAATAATAAACTAAGAATGTGTTCAGGAAGACAGGACTTTCAGAGTTACAAAATGACTAATGAAATATTTTAAAGTGATAAAGAATAGAATGAAAAGCCTTAGGAAAAATTGGTTTCAGAGTTTTACGTGGCTGTTGAAGACAGAACATGATGAACTAGAAGTTTCAAATTTACTTCTCAAAAAAACTGTTTTTCTCATGTTTTTAGAGTGGATTTTGGCTTAAGGGGCTTTTCTGGAGGGGGTGTTTTTAGTAACTTGGTGCCTGAATAAAATTCAACTGACTATTTTCAGAAACCTCTACTTTGTGATTAGCAACACAGTTCATCAGAGAGTGACATTTTGCTTAAGTCGTACTAAAGATCAGTTTCGCAACAAGGTATGAAGAAATTCGCAAAATATTTCGGATCAGACCTGCCTCCAAAACAACAATTCCATGAAACAATGTTACATTACAAACTTAAAACAGACCCAACAAAAATAAATGAGTAGTTAAATGCCAATGTATTAAAGACCAAACTGTTCGCAACATGAAACACTGATGATTATGACTGGAACAGAATTCCTGATAATTAACTGGAAGGCAATCTTTGTCTTTTTAAAAGGCAATTACAAAATAATGGAATACCGAGTTCAGAATTAAGCTGGCTGATGTTCAGTTAATTATTTGTGACAGCTGATGATTAAATTACACGCATAAGTTAGGGCTGGACTGAATCATGGGAGGCATGTTTTCTTTCAGTCTTATCATCAGAGTTCAGCGTGAACATATATAATGTGAGCTGTAAAAATAAACAGTCGAGTGCAGAAGATACGAGGGTCAAGTACAATATTGACTATTTGACCATTTTTTCAACAGGTTATCTAAGATTTCAGGAGCTCTGGACTTTTCCTTCAGGTCTTTGTTTCTCTCGCTTCTGACTCAGACCTCCAAAAGCAGAAACGAAATTTGATTTTTAGATAGACGTGTCTACACGTGTAAAATTGCATTTGGACAAAAGGCACCAATAGTCTCAAGTCAAAATTGTACCACTCCTACATGTATAATCATGCAAAAATGTATAATAAATGTATATACATGCAGAGTGATATTCTCTTCACCTACCCATAGAAATAACTTGTGTGAAAGTCTTCATCAGTAGGAAATACAAGCATAAACTTGTTATCTGTAGCTCCACTCTTGTATCTTCCACACTTCCAAAGAGCACACCTTATAACTTAGCTTAAATTCAGTATACATCAAACAGACAAAAATATTTTCAATATAATTTACACACTATAATTACATTTGTCAGGGTAATAGCCACCAATTTAACAATCTGGAAAAAAGAACCCCAAACAAGCTGCCTATTTACAAAGCAATCACAGCAGAGATCTATTTTTGCATTTCTCAGCCTTGCCTTTCAGGATCAGTTCTGGAAATTTGGAAACCCAACACCAGGTTTATTCACATCTATCACCAGTAAATAACAAAGCCAAGCTAATGGCCACCAAACTGCAACAAATCCTCAGATTCCCCATATTTATAAAAAAAGAAATAAGCATAAATGCTTATGTATGTTAAAAAAAAAGTCAGCAAAAACATCACAAAACCAAACAATAAAGAAGTTGTAGGCAACAACTAGATGAAAGTTGCAGCGAAGGCATATTAAAAATAACTTAAAAGAATCCTCTGTTCCCAAAAGTCTGTTTCCTTTTCAGTGCTGCATGGATGGGACAGGAGTGGTTAAATTTGGAAATAAATAATACTTCCCTAGCCAAGTATGTTGTCATCCAGTGATGTGATGCAAAGTGAATGTATGGTACCAAAAAATAATGACAATTGGCTTCAGCTAGGAAATAAAGTGAAAAAATGCTTTCAGGTTGAAAAGGTAAAAAGGATTAACTACAACAATAGGTGTAATTCATCATCTTTTCTTTATAACAGAGACACTACACATAATTACTGACTCTAACAGGATTTCAACAGATTAAAAAACAGACATGAATACAAACCATGCCAGAACCAAGACTTAATGTAGAACAGTTAGGAGGTTCCCTGGTCAGTAATTTAAACTATCTACTTTAGAAAAATTACATCTTTTGAGGACCCAAGGTAGATGGAAGAAGTACATTTCCCTGGTGACAAGCATTAATTCATTTCTAAAGCAATAAATGCTTGAAAAAGGCAAGGCTGAAAGTTAATAAGTACCAGCAGCAAAATACAGCTGTTGACATTTAATGCTATAAGGGGGGAGGGAAAGCCTGCTTTCTTTTTTTCTTCCCCAAAGAATTCAGAGGCAGAGGTCATCACGGGGACAGCATTTCGAAGTGTCCAATTCTCCCTTAATTTACACAGTTCATCAAAACTAATTCCACTCCGAAGTGCTGAAGCAGAAGTCACATGCACAAATCCAGGTCTACACATAGCAATTCTCATTTTAAACTTGCAGCACAGAAAATTGAATCACTTCTCATCTGCTACCTGCTCTCTTGCTTTTCTTACAGCCACATCTCAACACTCAGCAGCCTAACCCATGCTGTAAGATCCACACTCCTATTATCCCTTACTTCATTATAATGGCAGCACAAGCGAAAAGGGGAACTCAAGTGTAAAATTTCAGCTGTAGGTTAAAAGCAGCCATTCCACAAGAAGCACTGTCCCTCTGCACTGCACGGACTGTTTATCATTGCAAAGGAAACACAAGATATTAGATGGCAGAACCTGAGTGGGGAATTAAGTCCTTGGAATATGTGGGGACAGGCTGAGAGCTGTGGGTGTTCAGACTCCAGGGAGAGCTCAGAGCCCCTGCCAGGGCCTGAAGGGGCTCCAGGAGAGCTGCAGAGGGACTGGGGACAAGGCAGGCAGGGACAGCACACAGGCAATGGCTTCCAGTGCCAGAGGGCAGGGCTGGATGGGATCTTGGGAAGGAATTGCTGGCTGGGAGGGTGGGCAGGCCCTGGCACAGGGTGCCCAGAGCAGCTGTGGCTGTCCCTGGATCCCTGGCAGTGTCCAAGGCCAGGCTGGACAGGGCTTGGAGCAGCCTGGGACAGTGGAAGGTGTCCCTGTCCATGGCAGGGGTTGGAATGGGATGAGCCTTAAGGTCTCTTTCCTCCCAAACTATTCTATGATTACATGTCATTATTTCTCTTCATCTTTCTTACATTGAGGCAGGCTGAGCAGAGCTCATCACCTGAACTCCTTCCCACAGCAGCCAGGGAGAGGAAGCTCAGAGTCAGATAACCTCAGCCTGGAAATTTCAGCTTGGAGCATCGAGAGCACCATCTCCCCTCCTTCCCCAGCAAACAGAAAAGGCTTAGACACCACCTTAGCCCAGGCACTTGAATTTTACAGTGCTAGACTTCCACATGATGAATTCCAGCCCCAGGGATGGGATTTAAAATTTTCCTCTACAAGTAGAGGGGGAAAAGGCTGATATCTCCAGAGGACTATCTCGATTAAAATAAATCCAAAATTAAAAGCCTAATTTTGGTGGTCTGAATTGCCTTCTGGAGCCATCAGTGTCTCTGCAAGATGAGCCATATTTAGGTGTGAATAGCACCCCAAGTTTTAAGACACACAGAACAGTACAGTAATAATAATAACAATAATTACAGTGCTTTGTTCTTACAAAAAGCTCTCCATTAGTGGATCCTGGACAGCTCTGAGGTGGTTATTAACATCTTTTGTCCACGGGGGAAACTGAGGCAGGCAGCAGCCTGCAGCTTGCTCAAGGCTAAGCAGCAGAGGAGCTCAGCCTGGCTGAAAACAACATTCCCCTCCAAT